CAAAAAAGGGACAAGATTCACTTAACAAATTTTCACTTGGTGACGGAGATTTTGGGCTCAATTGTGGTCATAAGTCGAGAAGTACTTGTCGTATCTACAGGAAATAATTATATTGCGAAAGGAGAAAGAAAAAAAATTCATACTCAGTTTGAAATCCACACCAGTAGGGGGTGATATTTCCTACGATTATCATATAAATTGTGATAAGAACGGCGAGCATCTCTTATATTAAATATTAGGAGGATGGGCAAATTAATTATATCATCTTCAAAAAGAATGTTCAGTTTGCTACCTTATATTTACTACCTCCTCCCTTATGGCAGATTTAATCTCCGCATGTTTAGCTCCCATTTTGCCCAGCCTTTAAAACACGAGGAAATCTTTGCATTGTGTATGTGTTTGTGTTTTTTTTTTACATCACTATAATAAATAGTCACATTGGAAAAAGACGACAGGGAGTTTGTTTACCAAGAAAAAAGTGGCTTGCAAAATAAATAAAAAAATGCTGCTTTCTTGGTGAGACAGTTATGCACGGTAGAACTCCTATATTAACAACATTACGCTGAAAATGTAATTGTGCTTTTTTTTTTTGAGGCATTTAATTGCAGGCCTAAACTAATAAATTAAAATACCTTGCTTTGGTGGTGCAGTACCAAATTTAAAGCTTTATAGCACTGACCTCGTGAGAAAATACCGTGCCATGCTGAAGCTAGCTTTACGGTGGCTTTTATTTGTCGCAAACATGGCTAGGCTAGGCCATGCCAGATGCCGAACGAAATCAAGTAACCCCATATTATATTTTGGGGGGTATTGTGTGGCCCAAATTTATGACTGCATATTTCTGTTTGAAGAAGAGGCCTAAAGTGATGTTTACCTCCAGCGTTGAAAATCAAGGCAACGTGGCTTTGATTTTGCGTATAAAGTTTATACCAATTGGTATCGATTGCTCCGATTGATCATTAGAAATATTTCAGTGTAAGAATGGTAGTGGGTATCTCCTAAAGTCTGTCGCGTTAAACTGCCTGTGACTAAAAAGAGGAAGAATGGGGGAAAAGAGTTACATTAATAGACTTAAAGAGAATAGTAGTAAGATTGCTATGATTACGTAACTAATTAAGAAATAAAGAAATTATAGTGTATATGGTTAAATGTAGATTAAAAAAATGAAAGAAATGCCCTCTAGATTTAAAATGGGATTAGAGGATATACGCTGTTGGTAGCAAAATATATCCCTGGAGAAAATAAGAAATGAAAACTTGGTGAAACTGTGAAGGGGCAATTGAAGATATTGTTTATGTAGTAAGAAAAAATAATTATAAAGATGAAAAATAATGGAAAGAGAATAATTTGGCTGAAAGTGAAAACAAGACTGTGCTGTAAAATGGACTGTGTAAATGAGAGGAGGCAAGAGAAAATGCGCTTTGTTCCTATAATACGTATAATTTGTATTAAGAAATAAAATAAAAACTTGAAAAAAAATTAAACTTAAAATTAAACGAAACATATTCAAAAGCCCTGTTTGTCTTAGATTCACCCCCCACCCCAAAACAGTACAGGTAGTCCTCGATTTACGACCACAGTTGACCCCCCAAATCTCCTTTGCTAAATGAGATAGTTAAGTGACTTTTACCACCTTCCTTGACATAGTCGTTAAGTGAATCACTGCAGTTGTCAAGCCAGCCACACGGTTGTTAAGTGACTTCCCCATTGATTCGGCTTGTCAGAAGGGTCGCAAAAGGGAATCTCCCCAGGACACTGCGACTGTCATAAGAAAGAGTCAATTGCCAAGTGTGTGCCTGTTAAGTGTGAAAACAGGCTGCAAGTCACTTTTTTTTGGTGCTGTTGTAACTTCAGATGGTCGCTAAATGAATGATTGAGGTTTATAGGAGGCGGAGGCAGCTCCTATAATCCTGCATACGTTATCTGCCCCTTGTCAGAAATGGCATTGGGTTTCCTGCTTGGGTGGGGCGGGGGGTTGGACTAGATGACCTACAAGGTCCCTTCCAATTCTGTTCATCTTTCCTACATGACACTTTCTGAATTCGGCTTAGATGCGTTCTGCAGTGGGCTTCACAGTATATTTCTTCTGTGTCAATTATATATGTGTATGTGTATGTGTATGTGTATGTGTATCTCCCGCAATTCGCTCCTCCATTCATGAGGTCCACGATTTGGTTTCCTTTTTTCCCTTCAGGGACTCCAGACGATGCTCACAAGGCAGCTCATCATCAACAGCGACCCTGTGAGGTAGGTTGAAAAGAACCAACTCCCCCCCCTCCCCTCCTGCCCAGACAGTTCCTTCGACTGAGCCAAAGTCAAACCAGTGGCATGGTTTGACATGGGCTCAGACAGAGATGGAGAACCTTCTGGGACCAGCTGGCCGATGCGCGCATGCCTGCTTTTTGGTCATATTTGGCCGTTTTTCAGGCCATTTTCAGGCCACTTTCAGGGTGTTTTGGGGGGCATTTGGGGGCCTGTTTTCAGACTGTTTTTCAGGCCGTTTCTGGGGCTGTTTTGAGGACATTTTTCGGGACATTTTTCAGACTGTTTTCACACTGTTTTTTGGCCATTTATCGGGGTTTTCAGGCTGTTTTTCAGGCCGTTTCTGAGGCTGTTTTCAGACTGTTTTTCGGGCCATTTCTGGGCTATTTTAAAACTGTTTTTGGGCCATTTTTAGGCTGTTTTCAGACTTTTTTAGCCATTTCTGGGGGTTTTCGGGCCATTTTCAGGCTTTTTGGGGCCATTTCTCGGGCTGTTTTCAAACTGTTTTTCGAGCCATTTGGGGGCTGTTTTCAGACGGTTTTTTAGCCATTTATGGGGGTTTTCGGGCCATTTTCGGGCTTTTTTTGGGCCATTTCTCGGGCTGTTTTCAGACTGTTTTTTAGCCATTTATGGGGGTTTTCAGGCCATTTTTGGGCCATTTTTGGCTGTTTTCAGACTGTTTTCACGCCATTTATGGGGCTGTTTTCACGCCATTTTGGGGCTGTTTTTCGGGCCTTTTATGGGGCCATTTTCCAGTGCTCCGGCGCCTGCAAAGACCAGCTGGCCAGCACGCATGTGCGCCCCAAAAGCCAGAAGGGCAGCTGGCAATAGTGTGCATGTCCACAGAGAGGGCTGTGCATGCCACCTCTGGCTGCCTCGATCTTTCTAACTGATAGGCCTTTTTGCCCCCCCCTACTCCCCCAACCCTCTTTTTCCTGCCCCCAGGGCGGCTGTTAGGATAACTTTACACACAATTCCCGCACAGGTCCTTGGGCATCAAAAGAGAAATAGATTGGCGTTTCCCCGCATTTATCCTTTTTGTGCAAAAAGTCAGGATGAACTCCTGCCAAAGGGTCTTGTATAAGGGATATATCAGTAAGCCTTAGTCTTGACCCACCTGTCCCCCCCTCCCACCCTTTCCACCTGGGCTGTTTGTGTGTGGGGGCGGTCCTTTTCCCTGCCTCGCATGCCTGAGCATCCCAGGTGTTTCCACCTGCGGCTCCCCCTGCCTTCCCCCCCCACCCGTTTTCAAACCACCTCTCCAGCGCCAAACCCGCCCTCCCGCCTCATCCTTTCCGCGCAGGCCCTGAAGTCTGGCAACCGCAGGCTTTACGATCACCCCTCCCCTCTTGGCAAAAGAGCGTCCAGCCGGGGCTGCTTCTCTCTCGTTCTCTCTCTCTCTCTCTCTCTCTCTCCTCCCACCCGCCCCCCTCTCGTCCTCCTCCTCCTCCCCTTTGGCTCTAGTCTGTGCGCGCCCGCGCGCATGTGCGTGGCTTTCGCTCGCCTTTTGCGGCTCGAGGAGGAGGAGGAGGAGGTGGAGAGTGGAGGAGGAGGAGGGAGAGGCTCAGCCCGGGGGGAGGAGGCGCCGGTTCCTGGAAGAGCCCAGCCTGGGGAGTTGGTCACATTCTTGGCCGGCATTCAAGAGCTGAGCAGACACCAACAAACAGAGAAGGAGGCGGAGGCGGCGGAGGAAAGGAGGAGCAGCAGCAGAGCAAGCAGCCCCGCCAGATCGCCTGCTCGCTCGCCCGCCCGCCAGCCCGCCCGCCTGCCTGCCTGAGCTCAGCGCCCCAGCCTCCTCCGTCCGGGCGAAGGGTGAGCGAAGGGGCCCCCCTCGGACGCCCAGACCCAGAAGGCGCAGCCGCCATCCAAAAGGAACTCCGCGCCAGCCAGCCAGACAAGCAGCCGCCGCCGCCGCAGAAGCAGCAGCAGCAGCAGAACCACCAGCGGAGAGCAGCCAGCGGAGGAAGCCAGCCGCGCTGCTGGGCGAAGGGACGATCCGGGACCTCCTCCCCTTTCCTCCCGCTCCCTCTCTTCGCCCCATCGGCTTGGCGGACATGGACAGAAAGGCAGCGGGTCCCTCCCGCCCGCCGCCAGGAGTTGCCGCTTGGACCGCGGACGACGCGCCTCGGGGCTACTAAACAGGCTCCCTCCCTCCTTCCAGATCGCTTTTTTATCACCCTGGTTTTTTGGGGAGGGTCCGGAGAGGTTATTTTTTTGGGGGGAAGGTTTTTGTGGAGAGGGGGAGAAGAGGTCTCTTTTTGGGGGGAGGTCAGCTGGAGAGAGTCGCGCGTCCCCGCTTGGTCTTGTCGGACCTTCGCTCTCCTTGCCCCCCCCTTCTTTCTAAAACTTTTTCCCCCCTTTCCCGTTTTCTTTCTCTCTGCTTTTCCCCTCCCTTGGTTTTGGGGGGGGGTTTTTTGGATCTTGTTTGGGGGACAAAAAAACCCCCTTTCCCCCTTCTTCTGCAACTTGGGCGGCGCGAGAGAAGGCGAAGGAGGGAAAGGAAAAGAAAAGAAAGGAAGACGGGAAATGTGAGCTCGGCTGGGTCCCCATCTGGAAAGGACCCCGGCCGTCCCATCCGACCAGGGGAAGGGGGGCTGCTTTTTTAAACCCCCCCTCGCATCCCCTCTTGGAAGAGCCCGGGGGGAAAACAGACCCCCCCACCTTCCCCCCTCTCACCCACCCACCCATCCCAGGCTGGAACCGGGGCGCCTTTCCCGCGGGGCCCCCCAGGCGAGAGGAAAGATTCGCCGCCGCCGGAACCCCCCGGGACCTGGGCCGAAGCCGCCGAAGATGGAGACGGTCCCTCGGGGCGGCTTCCAGCCTCACCCGGGGCTTCAGAAGACGCTGGAGCAGTTCCATCTCAGCTCCATGAGCTCCTTGGGCGGCCCGGCTGCCTTCTCGGCGCGCTGGGCGCAGGAGCTTTACAAGCGGGAGACGGCCAAGGAGGCAGCGTCGGTGGCCTCTTCGTCCTCCTCCTCCGTGGCCGGCCCGGAGGCACCGCTGCCTCCTCTGCCCGCCATCCCTCCTCCCCCCGCCCCGGTGATGCCGGGCCCTTTCTTCATGCCGTCGGACCGCTCGACGGAGCGCTGCGAGACGGTGCTGGAAGGCGAGACCATCTCCTGCTTCGTGGTGGGCGGCGAGAAGCGGCTCTGCCTGCCCCAGATCCTCAACTCCGTCCTGCGCGACTTCTCCCTCCAGCAGATCAACGCCGTCTGCGACGAGCTGCATGTCTACTGCTCCCGCTGCACCGCCGACCAGCTGGAGATCCTCAAAGTCATGGGCATCCTGCCCTTCTCGGCGCCCTCCTGCGGCCTCATCACCAAGACCGACGCCGAGCGCCTTTGCAACGCCTTGCTCTACGGCGGTGCCTACCCGCCAAGCCGCTGCAAGAAGGAGATGCCCTCCGGCACCGCTGCCAACACCCTGGAGCTGGAGCTGACCGAGGGCAGCTTCAGGATCTACCACGAGTGCTTCGGCAAGTGCAAAGGCCTGCTGGTGCCCGAGCTGTACAGCAGCCCCGGAGCCCCCTGCATCCAGTGCCTGGACTGCCGCCTCATGTACCCGCCGCACAAGTTCGTCGTCCACTCCCACAAGGCCCTGGAGAACCGGACTTGCCACTGGGGCTTCGACTCCGCCAACTGGCGAGCCTACCTGCTCCTCAGCCCGGATTATGCCAGCAAGGAAGACAAAGCCAGGCTCAGCCAGTGCCTGGACGAGATGAAGGAGAAGTTCGATTACAGCCACCGGTACAAGCGGAAGGCGCCCAGGGTGAGCCCGGGGGGAAGCTTGCTCTTGCTTGGGGGGTGGGGGGAGGCGAGGGGGACTCTATATTTTTTGGGGGGTGTCCCCCCACTCTTCGAAGGTCCACTTTGCGGATAACTGGAAAGTGAGAGGTGGCTCCCAACATTGGGATTTCAGAAGACCTCAGAGAGAGAGAGAGAGAGAGATGCGAAGTGGAAGTCTAAAGGTCCTACAGGGAGCAAGGTGGTGGTTCCTGCTTGGGATGCTTACTGCTTGGCAGAGGGCATATATACCCAATCCCTTGGCAGAGGGGACATACTCAATCCCTTGGCAGAGGGCATATATACCCAATCCCTTGGCAGAGGGGATATATGCCCAATCCCTTGGCAGAGGGGACATACTCAATCCCTTGGCAGAGGGCATATATACCCAATCCCTTGGCAGAGGGGACATACTCCATCCCTTGGCAGAGGGCATATATACCCAATCCCTTGGCAGAGGGGACATACTCCATCCCTTGGCAGAGGGCATATATACCCAATCCCTTGGCAGAGGGGACATACTCCATCCCTTGGCAGAGGGGATATATGCCCAATCCCTTGGCAGAGGGGACATACTCAATCCCTTGGCAGAGGGCATATATACCCAATCCCTTGGCAGATGAGATATATACCCAATCCCTTGGCAGAGGAGATATATACCCAATCCCTTGGCAGAGGAGATATATGCCCAATCCCTTGGCAGAAGGGATATACCCAGTCTGTCAAGCTTCTTTATATCATGTGTGGGTCAGTTTTTGTAGTCTGCAACCTGGTTGGGGTTTATGGGTATTCTTGACCTTTCTGGAATGAACATGACTTATGTGGAGGATGGGTGAATGAATCCGGTGAATGAATCCTGAAACACATAGATAATTTATGTTCTTGGGATCTGCTTAAGGCAGTTGTTCTGGGCCAGATGGTCTCTTTTTTCCCATTTGGAAGCAAGTTGTCTCGAGTTTTTTTCTTGCCTGGGTAAAAAGATGGAAGTTTTAAATTCAATCTATGTCTGCCTTTCCTTGGGATGGAAAGGCCTGATTTTTTTTAAAGTAAGCGTGCAGCTGTACTTCTGGCAAGAGGCGTGTGTGTGTGTGTGTGTGTGTGTGTGTGTGTGTGTGTGTTTGTGTGAATCTCCAAAACTGGCTTTGTGCACACAGCGGAGGCTTATTGCTGTGCCAAAAACTCAATTTGCAGTAATGTGGGTGAAGCAGAACCGTTGGTGTGTACATGAGTTTTACAGATGTGCAAAGAAACAAAAATGGGATACACCAGAACTCTGGATGAGGTTTGCAAGAAAACAAAATAAGTGGAAAGATTTGTGAGGCTCTGCATAAAGTATTTTGTCCATTTTTGGGAACCAGCAGACTGCAGTGACTTTCTATGAAAATAAAACCCCTTGCCTTGTTTTTTGTTTTTTTTTTTTAATTTGGGGGAATGTAGCAGGCGTCTCAAAACTGGGATAAGTTGTGCCTTGGGTCAAAGAAAGATTAGCCATTGTGTCTTTTTTGCCTTCTTGCATGCACTTGCCATTCAGGTTTCTGGACTTCCCCCTCTGTGTTGTATTTTATACTTAAATTTACACAGGGCACACAGAAAGGTTTGCTGTGCTGCAGTGGCATTTCTTAAAAATGGAGAATTATGTTGCCGTAGTCTGGTTTTCATCGACCTGCCGTAAATCTCAGGAACTCTATAAAGTGCATGAACTTTTTAAAAAAAGAAAAGCAGTTAATTAATCAATTAACCAATTTACTAAACAGGGGAGAGAATTGTCATATTATACATTATTGCTGATTTGAAGAAATCCAAGGTATTTTTTTATTTTCTCTCTCTCTCCAGTAGTCTGTCTCTTTAGCATTTCACATAGAGAGAAATTTTAACACATCATCCCAGCAATTCCTATTGTACTAATTCAGTGCATTTATAAATACGATTGGGGTTTAGGATGTGTGTGCACAGACTGTTTATCTTTTTTTGATGCCCGGCATTGTCTGGCTGCGGCTGCCTTGCCAACAATTTTTGTACATGGGTTAAATATACACTCCGGAAATCGATGTGTCCTACTCTGGGCTGCTCCAGTTACTTTTCAAACATGCCAGGCAACTGGGGAGTCTGCCCAACCAGACAATTTAAAGAGGACATTGGTACAATATCCTCTTTATTTAATCTGCGAACTGTGTTCAAGTTCCCAGAATCCCTGGGGTTGGGTGAGAAAGTGGCGCGGTGCGGAAGCCATGCCTTGGCACCAGGCCCTGGGGGAATAAAGTAGAAAGGTTAGGGGGGGGGGGGCTGTCTCTTGAAAATTAAAAAAAAAAAAATCCAGTTGCATAGTCCACAGATTTAGTCTGCCTCCCCATTGCCTTTAAAAAAAAACACACAATAGTAATATGCAAAAGAAGGAAGAATTTTTTTTTAAAGTTAGCTTTGCAATTGTGCAGGATTGTCAAATCCCCTCTGAATCATGGGGATTTACAAATCTGTAGAAAGCCACTCGATGGCTGACAGGCAGGTGTGGAGGTGGATACTTCTTCGGTAAAGGCGTTTTTTTTCCCCTCTTTTTAAATTCCTATGCATCTAAAACCCACCCACCCACAAATCTGAGGCCACTACTCTGCCGAAAGCAAGCATACACCACCGCAAAGGAGCCGAATAAATAATCATCTTTTTTTTAAAAAAAAAAAAAAAAAAGGGCACAGAACAAAGAGATTTTTAAAAAATTTCCTCGCTTCCTCCTTGTGTTTTTCTCTTGAGTTTTCACTTTTTTGAAGAAGAGGAAGCCATTTTCTGGGGAACTTTCCCCCTCCTTCCTCTTCTTTTCCTTCCCTCCACCACTCCCGCATCTCCCAGAGTGTCAGTGTGAGAGCTATTGTCGGAACATTGGAGTCTAAAGACTGCACATTATCGCTCATAGACCAGCCTGGATGCAGCGTTAATAGCTTGTCTCTCTTTGGCTAATCATGTGCTAAAAGTAGCAGTTGCCTGAGTGAATAGGAAGAGAAGGAACAGTGAAAAAGGATGTATTTTGTGTGTGTGTGGGTGGGTGGGAGGGTATACTTTCATTGTAAGTCCTAGCATTTTTATTTTTATTTTAAAGTGTCAGAAATCTTTTTGGTGACCCAAGAGTAAAACATTCAACGTGCATTTTGTGGTTGTTTTTTTTCTGGCTCTGGCAAATCCATCACTTTCTGAGACTCTTGGAACAGGAAGCTTTTGAACTACAAGAAATAATTCCCAAAATGGTGGGATTATGACTTTGGAAAGGAACAACCGATGATGATCGCTTGGAAGTATCTACTTTAGAGGACATCTAATCCAACCCCATGTATACTCCAGACAAAAGCAGTGGAAAGCAGTAGGGATCTTTGTGGCTTTTGAAAAAGCATTTGTTTGATTTCATTTCTCCTTTTTTTAAAAAAAAATCTACCATAAAACTTGTGGAGGTTTGTGTCTCTTTTAGGAGAATGCGAGTTAGAAGTATTTTTTTTCCTCCATTTGCTTTGGTTTAAAGGAGCCAGGTAGACTCCCCACAGTTTAAGCTATATTGTGAGAATAGAGTAGACTAGTTTTAACTGCTTTTTCTGCAGAGCTGGGCTTTTGTATGAATGCTTGGATTTGGCTTGTATTTTGGGAAGGCCTTGATTACCTGCCTCTCTGTTTACTGCACTGAATGTTTATTTGAATGTTTGTTTTATTTATATGCCGCCCTTCCCCCCCCCCCCCCCAAGGGGACTCAGGGCGGCTCACAACTCAAACCAGGGAAGGGGGATACAAACAAAAATTAAAAACAACACACAACAATACATAATTTAAAACACACAACAGTCATACCATTCAAGACGGGGGGGGGGGGGCAACAGTTCTTTAGCCCCAGGCCTGTCGGAACAGCCAGATTTTAAGGGCTTTGCGGAAGGCCTGGAGGGTGGTACTGTCTTCCACGATTAACAAATGCGTCAAGAAAAGTTGTGAAACGGGACAAACTCACTTAACAAATGTTTAATTAGCAGCATCAATTGTGGTTGTACCTTGAGAACTTCCCTTGCCGCAGTTTGTTAAGTGAATCGCTGCGGTCCTTAAGCTAGTAACAAGGTTGCCTCTAGCTTAAGTGAACCTGGCTTCCCCATTGATTTTGCTTGTCAGAAGGTATCAAAAGGGGAGATCACGTGACCCTGGGACAGTGCAACCGCCATAAGTACATGTCAGTTGTCAAGCGTATTAATTTTGAGCATGTGACCAACTGGGATGCATCAATGGTCATAAGCCATTTTTCCCCCCACTACCATTGTAGCTTCGAATGGGCATTAAACGAACTGGATTATGTGAACTTAATTCCCTGATGCTGACTGGGGAATTCTGGGAGTTGAAGTCCACACCTCTGAACATTGCAGAGGTTGGGAAAGCCTGATCTATATTTTATTTATTATTTACTGCTGGAGTGCAGCCTATTTCTTTTGGCACTTCCGGAACGTTTGAATGTTTTTCCTTTTTCTTGGGATTAATCTTTCCCTTACGGACTTTGAAATCTCTTAAAGTCATAGCTGGACTTTGCTCCTCTGTGTTTCCCCCCCCTCCAAAAATGTGGTATGTTCCTTTTTTCCCCCTGTGTTTCTTTTTCTTGGGTCTTCTCCCTTTTTCCCATGATATATCCTTACCTTTTTGAAGAACTTCAGACAAGAGCTGGCTGATTCTTACTTTGTGTTTGTTTGATGTGTCTGCAAACAACACTCTTGTGCAACACTCAATTTCTAGGTATTTTGAAGTGCTTTCCTTTAGAGCTTTTTTTTTTTTTTTGTCAATAGCGAGCTGGTTAAAGGAGCTTAAAGAGGATGCCTAAGACATGAAAAAGATACCAAGTTGTCTACTTTTGAACTAATTGTCTCTGCTTTCTTGCAATTTACTTTACAACATGAAAATTCAGAAGCCTCTTATGGCTGCTGAAATCACCAAGCTGTATTAAACCTGCATCTAATAACTAAGCCAGGATACTTTTTTTGG